TTTTTTTCACAATTCAACCGGGTACAATCATTATGGACAACAGGGATTTCTCTTACCTCTACCTCTCCCCTTTTACCTCCATCAATCTTCCCACCTCTTTTCGCTGTCTGAGCTAATGATGCAGACGAAATATCTTAGGCCTTCTGTTAATGAAAACAATGCCTCACTTAAACAAGTTCGCATTGCATTGCAGAATGTTTGGGATACTACTTTGCAGTAACATGCTCAGATACCCCCTTTCCCTTTTTCAACCTTAGCGTCACATTATACGTTCAGTCAATAAACTAACTTCATTTTTTTTCTCTCATCTTTTATGCAATAAGATATTATTTTCCTTGTACGATTCATTTTACAATATTTACCTTTTTGTATTATATACTTTCTCTTAATCTTTTATCATTCATTTTGTGCGTTTTTATTTTTATAACCTTAAATTTTATTTCATTGATACACCACCATTACAACATCTTTCTCTGTTTAACTTATAACTTTATAATAATTTTAATTAATTTGTATATACAAATTATTTCTTTTATTTTTTATAATAGGTTTGTTAGGTTATCATTCATTACATGTCATTCCCCCAACCAAACCTTCATCACCGGGGACACATTCTGTAGTATATTTTGAATTAGATAGATCACAACCTTCTTCTAATATTTATTATAAACCCATATCTATATAAAATATGTATCGAGCAATGGAAGTGACAAATAAAACAAAGAAGGGGGTAGACCAAGGCGACACCATGGACCAGACGACAAAGGCCAGACGTGATAAACAACCCGGCGCCTAACAGGTGTTTATGATAATGAGTTCAATCCCCCCGTCAGCAGGTGGCCGAACAGGTGTCCGGCCAGGTGGCGTGATTTATGGGAGCCAATCAAAACGCGCCACCACATGCGTGAGTCCGAGTATATAAAGCCCCCCAAGATGGGACAGTTTAGTTGGTTAGTTGATAGTTGTTCAGTTAGTTGTTTTCAGAGCGACGCCGTTATACGGTCAGTGGGATCTCTCACCTTCTATCCGCGATGTAGGCTTTGGGCATCCGTGGCGCCCGTGGTCTGTCTGCCTTCGTCCGTGGTCTACCTCTACCTTCTTGGAGTTACCATCTAGACCTGCCTCTGTCTCTTGCTGTCCCAGTGCAGGAATCCCATCACGCACCCACTACCATGACTGCCCAGTACATTCCACGTCGGGTTTACTACATGTATATATATATTTATTTTATAAAATTAAATATTCCAACAAGCCCTCCTAATATTTTTTCATCGCAGTAAGGACAGTAGAAAATTTTGATTTATTTGTGAAAAGAAATATTCGCGTCTTAATGCTTTCATTACTTATATTCTAGTTACGGTTTCAGAAATTTGATCATTTTTATTCCTTAAAGTTATTGTTAAGTAGGCAAATTTTCTATTAGGTGTTTATAGGTTTTACAATTTTTTTGAAAGTGGACAGTCCAAGGATTTTTGGAGACGGTATACCCTCTCGTTAAATTTTATAGTTTGGAATTTTCAAATATTATCGCAAGTATGAGCCTGAAGACAGCTACAACCTCCTCCAATAGATGGCGCTTTAGCCTATTTCTAGTCTGGGACAAATGTGGGAGTCGCCTACTGCTGTGGTCCTGTTTCCTGGGACTGATAATTGTAAATATCTGTTTTATGTAACGTACTGTAAATATCCGTTAAATCATATTCGAGTTCTTATGTAATGTGGTTTAAAGATGACAATAAATAGAGGAGTGTAGAACGACATTTGAAAATTATCCCGCATGTGTTTCTTTTGAGCGAAAATTTGAAATTTATTTTAAGGAGAAATAACAATTATTTCTAATCTTAGGGATGAAGAGTATGAAATAATGAATTGTGAAGAGTAATAATAAATTGAAAAATAAAGTATCCAAGGATGGGAATTTATTTTTCCGTTTATCATTACTCTTCACAATTCATCCTTTCATACTTCATCCCTAAGGTTAGAAATAATCGTTATTTTTCCTTAAAATAAATTTTGATTTTTAGTTTTAAAAAAACACATGCGGGATAATTTTCAAATGTCGTTCTACAATCATAAACCGCATTATATTGTACTATAAAGAGAGGAGTGTTAGCAGACTTGTTGCTGTTGTGACTTTCTCTCCAACACCACAGTCGCTACTCTTCTGGTAAGTCTCTCGTGTCCCCCCCCGCCAGTGGTAAGGCCGAGAGATACTGCCAGAGGAAAGGAGATCCACTTGAAGAGTGTTTCTCAGAGGGTCTTTGGGCTGACTGCAGGGTAGAGCTGCAGAGGTGAAGCAACAGAGCCAGGGTAGGTGATCCACGGTGGAGGAAGCGGCGTCGTCGTGAAGAACCGGAGGGGAAACGTACGACAATATTTCAATTTTTATTGAAATAGATCAGTCAAAAATTGACAGGTTTTAAATGGATCATTTATTTTATATGGAAATTAGGTGAGGCTAACCAAAGAGTTTATTGTAAACTTTAAAATGGCGGAAAGATTTAAAATAAAATTTACAAAACGGTTTTTCTAAAAGATTTCAGAAAATATTTTTTAAAATTTTAATTTGTGGATAAAATTCATAGGGTTATCAAAAATATTTTTCGTTTTCATTATAAAGGAGTAGCTGAAAAGACATTTGTACCATCCCAGAAACTGGGAAGATATGAAGGAATTTTAAACTAATTCACCTTTTTTAGAAATGTCTGGTCAAAATTAATTGAATTTTGCAGTAAAATTTAATCATATGTTTATTTTCAAATATACAACAATAACAAAAGGCTTTATTAAGACCTTTTAGTCTTATATAGATTCTCCAAGCAGAAATGCAGGAAACATGCTGGAAAAACAGCAATAGTACCTTAATGGTAATATGATATTTATATACAGGAAAAATTATATAAAGACAATCAAGCTAATAAATAGATTAGTGTGGGCAAATTGGAGGAAAAGAAATTTATTTTACATGGATTTATCACGGATTCACCGCTAATGAAGTTAAAAAAAGAAAAAGCTAATCACAATCAATTTTGAGATCATAAAATGTATGCATTGTAATTAAGACAATTGAGCTCATAAACAGATTTGAAAGGGTAAATCTAGGAATAAAAAAAAAAGATACAAAATAAAGGAATGAAAAAAAAAAAAACACTGGAATTTACATATTTTTAAATACATATATATATATATTAAAAATAAAAGAGGCATATCCTGGCCAGGCTCACATGAGCATTTCTAGATGGCAGAGCGCCATCTAGTGGAAAAAAAATTAAACGTTTATTTAACTTGTTCTGTGATATTTGGCCAACCCAATTTATTGATAAATCAAGAATAGTCAATCACGAACACGTTTCGGGCTGTTGGCCCTCGTCAGCGTGGTGCAGACTGTACCTCTATGACCAAAATTCGGTTCTAGAGGCTTCCTGAGTAATCTAGAAATAGGTATTTAAAGCCAAATTTGCGTAAATACGCTTTTCATGTAAAAAAATCAATGAAAAAATAAAATATATATATATGGTAATTTAAATAACAACCCCATATTGTATATAATATAACAAGATTTTCATGTTGTATAATAGAAACGCATCTGTAAATGATTATACACATGATTGAAATGTGTCATTACATCATCATATGTAATGTACTTTGTACAAACTGAGGATAAATAAATGAAACTCTGTAATAGATTAAGAGTTGAGCTAAAGCAAGAGATTGAGATAGAAGTCCAACGAGGCCTAGAATATGTCAGGGCGTTGCCAGTGTACAATGATATCTTCCGATCCACGCCCTTGTTGCATCCGCTGAAACCCAATACTTCCTCTCGGCAAAGATATATAAATCTGTCAATTCGCGGAAATATACAGTCACTTAACCATCAGCAGGAGCCCTCGTCGGTTGTGTCCAAGGTCCACCTCATCGACCATGTATAACAGTAAGAACTCTTCTATCTCCATCTTTCGCTCCTAGCTCGACTTTTATCTGTTCACGGAACTTTTCTAGTACAACTGTGTCTCTTCGTTTTTTGTGTATGGACATTCCCAAGATTTCCACTCTGCCTCGACCACGACTGCCTATACTCTGTGGGAACTTTTAAAGGTCTTCCAAGGTGCAGAGAGGTACTAGAAAACTCTCCACGCCCTGAGTGTTCCTCTCGGTTACTACAGGTTTGCCCCTCTCGGTTACCACACCACAGCGAGAGACCCTCGGTTATCACAGTATTGCGAGAGTCAACAGGATCGCACACCATAGATTAAGTCGACAGGATTCCACAACGACAGGATTCGATATATGTATATTTATATATATATTCAAACTTTTACTGTGCATATTGTAGCTAAAAAAATTATAGCATATACATACATAAGAAAATCAAACTACTTTTAACGTGTATGTTTCATTTTTTTAATCATTTTCTACTACCCTTACTGCAATGATAAATTAATAGGAAAGTTCATCACTGATCAGCCAGAGCCTCCCATTAATTTATCATTGCAGTAAGGGCAGTATAAAATTGGTTTATTTTAAAAGAAACATACACGTGTCAAAAATAGTTTAAATTTCTTATAACAGATGGCGCTCTAATACAGGACGTAAATCAAACGGATATTTCTGGTCAAAATTAATTAAATTGTGCGTTAAACTTTCATCATATGTATATTTTTAAATATATATATATTTAACGTTTACTGAAATATTGTAGCTAAATTGTATATTTATAAGAAAATCAAACAATTTTTGACGAGTATATTTCTTTTTGAAAAAAGATAATTTTCTACTACTCTCACTGCAATGATAAAAATAATGGGAGTATTTACCACTATATGAGCCTGGCCCTCCCATTATTTTATCATTGCAGTAAGGACAGTAGAAAAGTATTTGTTTTAAAAAGAAACAAAACGCATCAAAAATAGTTTGATTTTCTTATAACAGATGGCGCACTAATGCAATCATGTAGCATATTTGTAACAAGAAAATTTCTCTCCCGCCAAAGAGCTTTTTAAGGCGAAATATAGCTCAGCTGTGAAAGCTTTAGACTCATGATCTAAATGTCCCTGGTTAGAACCCACGTTTCGCCATCTTTTTATATTGGGCTCGAAAACCATACACTTTGGTTAGTATACCGTAAAAGCATATTCTCTCTTTCATAGATATATATTACTAGCCGAATGGCCCGGGCAACGCCCGTGTTTTACCCGATTGAATGGTTTTATTCAAATACTATTTAACACAAAGCAATAACGCGCCATCTATACATATAAAATAAAAGGATTTAAAAGCGCGAATGTTTCTTTTATACATAAAACGAACTTCTACTGTCCTTACTGCGATGATAAAATATGTTGGGAGGGCTTGGCTCATCAGTGGTCAACCCTCCCAGCGGTTTCGCCAATTTAATCCACCAGACCGCTTCTCAGAGCTCTAATACTGTATTGGATCATTCTTCTTTTATATGCTACACTGAAGGATTGAATCTTAGAAATGGTTTTCAAGTAAACTATGGACATAAGCTTATAGGACAGTAGAATTACATTCAATTGGCGAAACCGCTGGGAGGGTTCACCGCTGATGAGCCAAGCCCTCCCAACATATTTTTTCATCGCAGTAAGGACAGTAGAAGTTCGTTTTATGTATAAAAGAAACATTCGCGCTTTTAAATCCTTTTATTTTATATGTATAGATGGCGCGTTATTGCTTTGTGTTAATTTATTCCTAACTGGCCTTGTCTTTATAGTTTGCTGAAGAGCATTGCTCGAAGCAAATATTTGAATGTAATTCTACTGTCCTATAAGCTTATGTCCATAGTTTACTTGAAAACCATTTCTAAGATTCAATCCTTCAGTGTAGCATATTAAAGCAGAATGATCCAATACAGTATTAGAGCTCTGAGAAGCGGTCTGGTGGATTAAATTGGCGAAACCGCTGGGAGGGTTCACCACTGATGAGCCAAGCCCTCCCAACATATTTTTTCATCGCAGTAAGGACAGTAGAAGTTCGTTTTATGTATAAAAGAAACATTCGCGCTTTTAAATCTTTTTATTTCAAATACTATTTGTTACAATTATAAATTGGCGCCTTAAATAAATGCATATATTAGTTAATAACTATAGCCTATGTGCTTTATCTGTCTATGTACTGTTGGCTTCCGTAGGCGTCTCATACTGGGAAAAGGAAAGAGAGGATTGCATTTAGTTATTAACTAATATATGCATTTATTTAAAGAGCGACCCGCTCCAAAACAATAGTTACAAAAACGAAAGAGCGAGTGGGGAGGCATGATGGGGGGGGGGGGGGGGTCAAAGGTGGCGTGACCGTAGCCAACCAATAGGAGGGCGCCATTCCAAACAAAAAGCAAACGGTGACAGAGACGACTGATGAGGAATGACGCTCGTAACTGTAAATAGAATGATTCACTAGCGCGCCATCTGTTATGAAAATTCGAAACTGTTTTAGACGCGTAAGATTCTTTTTGAAATTAAACAATTTCTAATGCCCTTACTGCAATGGAAAAATTAATGGGAGTGCCTGGCTCATCAGTGGTGAACCCTCCCTGCGGTTTCGCCAGTTTAATCTACCATACCGCTTTTATATTAAATTTTTCGATCTTCCTTTTATAGTGATACTGTTGCTAGACTCTTGGAATGGGTATTTTAGATTAACTATGGACATAAGCTTTGAAGACAGTAGAATTACATACAATTATAAATATATATAATATATTAATATTTTATTAATTGAAATGTGATGTGTGTCCTCGTTTAAGGAAAACTATAATGTGGAACGAGCCAAAGTTTAGAGAAAGGTATCTTCTGATTTTGCAACTAAAAGTTGCTGATGGCTTGCGCCATCTGTCGGAATAAATATCAACTAATCGTTGATTATTAATTATTCCAGAATTGGCCGAATGCCCTTTCTTAATTAATTAAGAAATTCTATCGAGAAGTACGTTTAGCCAATTCTTGAATAATTAAAAATCAACGATTAGTGGATATTTGTTCCAACATATGGGACAAGCCATCAGTAACTTTTAGTTGCACAATCAGGAAATACCTTTCTCTTAATTTATTAACCTGATCCCAGTAAAATTTCACTTTTGTACTAATTAATGAAACAAATTTTATTGAAAACTTTAAAGAAGGATTCAAAAAATAAAATTTTAAGACAGTGTTCGTGAATAAATATTTTAAATCATAGGTTGACCATGTTTCAAATTTAGAGTTTTAGACAAAATGGTTCATATTTATACATATAGAAGTAGTTAAATAAAACATTTGGACACTCTTAGATCCTTTGTTAATGCGAAGTGATTTTTACTGAAATAAATTCAAGTCGAAATTGGTAAATTCTATTGATAGATTTTGATATAACAATAAAAATAATAATGGCGATGGAAAATACAGTAGAACTTCTATGAGAGGATACTCACGCTAGAGGACAACTCTCTATAAAGGATAGTTTCATTTGTCAAAATTACCATTTTTACTATTTAGAAATTCTCCGGTCAGAGGACACCTCTCCCTAAAAGACATTTTGGCTATGCAACTAGGTGTTGTCCTTTACAGGGAGTTTGTTCTACTGTATATATATTATTATTTTTATTATTACTAAAATAAATGAGAAATAGGAGAAGTTTGATCTTAATATTTTTAATTTTAAACAAAGCATTTCCCCGCTGTTGGATACACGTCTCGGTTACCTCTTGTTCGCATTCCCGGCACCTTGAAAAGTCCCCGTTACATTTCTGATGTGTTAAGGCCCTTTGCAGTACCTTTTATTTGAAGACTTGGAAACACAAAGTTTCAACAGGATAATGCACGACCGCATAATGCCGGTATTGTGTGTGGACCTTCCTACATACAGAAAGTGTTCAGCTGCTACCCTGCCATCACGTTCTTCCGAACTGTCACCAATAGAAAATATCTTGGAAACAGTTTGTTGATGCACTTTGAATAGCCGAATAATTTCGCATTGACGTTTTCCATGATGAAACAGCTCAATAATTGCACTACGTTTTTTCGAAATCCTAAAAACACGACAAAATAAAGAAAAGAAAAAGGAGATGCCTTTTTTTTTTTCTTTATTTATGCACCTTATCTCCCAGTGCAATATCACATTTTTCACTACAAAATAAGTTAGCACAAAGTCGAAACTTAACATAATGGTACATAAAAATATGGAAAATCCGACAAAACATAAATTAATTTATTACGTTTCAATACTTTCGTGTTAAGATAACTAAACATTTTCTCCATTATTTTGGGATACACCTTAATTGCTATGTAAGAGTTCTTGAGTAACTAGGGATTATTTGATTAAATTTAACCACCATGGTTTAGTTCACATTGAAAAACGTAAAGATGACAAAATGAGTGCTCTAAGTAGCTTCTTTGGTAACTTTAGCAATATTTGATCTATTTTACTTCCCATCTGGTAGATAGGATTAAAGTTGAGAATGGTTGTTTTTTTGTGACAATTGAAGTATTTGATCGAATTTACCCCATTTTGTATTTTTCATTTTAAAAAGTTAACGTTGAAAATTGTAGCTAAGTATGATTTGGTTTCAATTTAGCAATATTTGATCAATTTAGCTCACTCGCCATTGGATAAATTTCATTGAAAAGATGACAATTGGTGGCTAAATAACGTTTGGTGCAACTTCAGCGATATTGGATCAATTTATTCACAATTAGGCAATGTTCATTAAGAAGGCGAAAGCTGCCAATCTCTTTGATAAATAACCTTTGGTTTAATTTTAAAATATTCAATCAATTTTATCGGCTATTGGGCCATCTTACCATATTGAAGAGCGTACTAAATGCATAAAACCTCAAATCTACAAAATAACGAAATATAAATTGATATTTAAATACAATAATATGCGATCTGTCTTTTTTTGCAAGTTTCTCTATAAGAAATTATTAATTTTATTATCTAATGATTTAAATATGGATTGCTCTATTTTCAAAATGATATATAAGTATAAGAAGAATGAAATTGACAATGATTACTGCGTAACTTCTGGTGAAATTTCAGCGAAATCTGATCATTTTTACCTACCATTGGATGGATTTAAGTGAAAAGATTTTTAAAATATTATACCTAGTACAGGTGGTACAGGCCATGATAATAGATAAGATTGAAGTTGACAATGGTGTCCCTGAGTAAATTCTGGTGTAAATTTAGCTATATACAATCAATTTTATCCATCATTGGGTAATTTTTATTGAGAATAGAAAAGTTGACATTGGTTGTTAAGTTCTTGTGTAACATTACTATCAATTTGGTAGCTTTAATTGAAAAGGTAAATTTGATACTGGCTAATTGGATATTTGATATTGGCTAATTGGATAATTTGATGTAATTTCTGGTGTTAATTTATATATATATTGAGACGTTACAAAAAAACAATTTTCAATTGTACATAAATTCCTTTAAGGTGTTACTTAATTTTTCATATGTTTATTTTCAATTTCTTTTTCTCATTCATTAAAAGTCAATGATGTACATGCAAAATTAGTAAAAACTCAATACAAACGATATGTAAAAATAGATATAAAAACAAATGGCTTGTAAACAAAAGCGGCAATAAAATGAGTTGAGTAAAAATGTCTATTCCATTAACAAACATTTCACTTTTAAAATAATGAACTTTAAAATTAAAGTTTTACAAAACAGGAAATTAGCGTTTTAAAATAAAAACGTAGCAATATATATAGCGATTTTGATCAATTTAACTAATTATTTGGGTAATTTTTTTTTACTTGTGCTGTTCGTTAGCAACATTTGATAGATTGCATCTACCACTGGATAGATTTCATTAGAAGAATTTAGTTGACAATGGGTGCTAAGTTTTTTGGTAAAAATTTCATTGATATTTGAGCAATTTTACCCACTCTTGTGTTGTTTTAATTTATAATAGTATATTTGACAAGGGTTGAAACGAGAGTTCTTATGAAAATTTGAATATACTAGTATACTTGTATTTTATCAATTTTACCCATATCTGAGTAAATTTCATGGAGAAAGATAGAGTTGACAAAGCTTTCTAAATAACTTCTGGAGCATATTTATGGTAACT